GCTAAAGTATACCTATTCCCAACTAAATACTCTTTCTTTTCCAAGAAATCATTTAAAATGGTGTAATATTTTTTGGTTTCTTTGGTATATCGTTCAATGCAATATGGAATACGTTCTGGTGAGAAATTATTAAAATAATTAGCTTCTCCTTGCATAGGTCCGAGTCCAGCCATTTGGAACATAATCTAATAAGAGTAAGAGGAATTAAACCTTTATTTTTTTTTTTGATTTCATTCATAAGAAATTTTACCATACCCATTGTATAACTTGACTTCTTAACTTGGGATCCTTTGGCAATAATTTCTCTTCAAGATCATAAGTTTCACAAAGGTAAAGCATAATAGCGCCACTTTCAAATACATTAAAATCATGATCCGTGAGAGCAGGAATTTTTCCTGCTGGATTGATTTTCAAAAACTCGGGGCTCTTATGTTCTCTTTTTTCAAAAGAAACATAATTCACTTTATATGGAAGTCCTAATTCTTCAAGAGTAATACTAACTTTTACTCCGTTGGTAGTTGAGAAAGTATAAAAAGTAATATCAGGAGATGCCATTTTTCGGTTATTATTGAAAAAAAAAATTTTTTTTGTTTAAATTGGGCTGGGGCCTATTTATAAACGCGATTCAAAGAGTGACGATTGATTATTAAATACTATAAATTTTAAGACCAAATTTTCCCATGACAATGAAACAAAATGAAACTATCACAAGATTTTCCCAAGCCTCCAAGCCTTAAGAGTTTAATTATTATTTGTAAAAATAAATAATATTTTACATAATAATACTGATTCCTTACATACGTTCGTAACGATGGAACCTTATATTATAATAAATAATATGCAGTGTGCATCTTGATGTTATTGTAATAAGATCTTAATTTTGTCTGAGCCTGGCAATCTTCCCATATATTACCAAAATGAGGATCTCTAACAGAAGACGTGACTTATCATAGGCATTGATAAAAACCAATAAGGAAGAACGTGCAAAGGTATTTTACTTGTATTCATTATATTTATCTTATCACGGCTGTTTGTACATCTTGGGAAAGAAAAAGGAGTCTGATTTACAGTAGTAATTTGAGCCTGTCTCTTCGGTACGAAATGTATTAAAAATCTTTTACTTTTTATAGCAATGTAAACAATATAAACTTAATTGGATTAAAAAAGCATTATAGCTTCAGAAAGCTTTACATGTATTGTATTTCAATATAATTAATTTTAATATTGAACAAAAAAATATGCTTCATATTTTTATTCTATAGATCCGTTTAATGTAAATGATATTACACAACGCCCAATTAGATGAAAATTAGAATTATTAGACTTATTAATCGTCTCTTTGAAATGCACGTAAAAAGTTGTTTGAAAATAGTGAAGAGAAGAAACAGAAAGAAGTAATTGATCAAAGATGTCATGATAAAATTATCGCTTAAACAGATATTATAGAGCAGTCCAACTTGGTACTGCGGAATAAATTTTCTTATTCACGTGATTACATTTTTTAGTGTACAGACTATATTATTCATTCTATTTAGTATAATTAAATTTCCAATATCTATAACCATTGTTCATAACAATAAAACACTCACCTAAAAAATTAAAATTAACAAATTAAATGTTCAAGATGATTTACACCATACACTTTGATCTAATACAGCGATAGCGGCTCCAAGACACCATCCAGTTTCAATACCTTTAATTTTTTTGGCAATCTTTACTTCCCTTTCAAGTGGTATTTCATAACCATGATGTAATAATCCATAAATGAACGTTAAATCCATGCAATAATGTGGATTCTTATTAAGCTCTTTAATAGCCTCTGGCAAATGACTAAACTGATCGACATTTCCCGCACAAACTGCATCTGTTAAATCTCGGAGTTCTCTAAGAGAAAATTCAGTTGGCATCCCTAAAGGTCTCACTCGATCATAAAAATATGAAAAGGCATAAATATCATGTATCTGAAAGGTTGTTTGTAATGATGGCTGATATATACCATTAAATGCACATGGAGATAAAGGACATTCATTGGTTTTGTTAAGTACTTGTTCGGCAATAAATCGACATTGAGCATGTCCTGCACCAGTACCGACAATTGTTGCAAAATCTTCATGTTTTGAATTTAAAATATCAGAAAGTGAAAATTGTTCTGTATAATTTTTTGGAAAGCAAGGATGGGGGACATGATCCTCTGTAATGTCCAATTTAGATGCTGCAACGCCGGGAATTACACTATCTTTCATGTTACTAGATACAGAGGACCACAATTTTATCATGAATTTTTTAATCGCTTTTCTTGCTTCCATAAGTCCATAATGCAAATATGAATGCTGATAAAGTACATAACTATGTCCTCCAAATTTTAATTCATATTTATGCTCTCCAGGCGCAACTTCAAATCCTTCACTTGATTCGGGTTCAAAAACAATCTGAGTTGAGCCACCTCCAAGATCAAATATAGCAACCGTGGGAATTTTTTTCGTAGAACCTATTCTATCCAATAAATAATTTACTGTAATCCATGCATATACTCCTATAATATAATTGAACAAAAAAAATTTTATTTTTAAAAAAAATTTAATTTCTTGAATTTCTTTATAAGTACATATCCTATTTTTAAAAATGTTTTTGACATACCTTCGTCTTTTCCATCCATAATTACAACACCTTCCTTTTCTACTATGTAGAAAGGATAATTTGTTTCTAGATGTTCTCTAACGGCTTCCAATATGCGTTCACTTTTCTTTAATCCTAACAAACGTAAACCGGCCGTTGCTTTAACAGCTATTGGAGTACAATGTCGTAACTCTTTAGGAACATTCTTAAGAGCTACTGACATCAATTCATTCAAACTATTTGCAGCTGCTTCTGGATCGTCTCCGTACGAAGAAAGGCCTGGTTCTACATGCGCAAAAATTTCATCTTCCAATTCCGGTGATGCCTTACAATAATTAAATCGATATACATGTATACGTGAACCTGTAGATCCAGCATCAAGCATGAGTGCATATTGTATTAGTGGTCGACCAGGATAAGGTACGGTACAATGTTTTGAAGAACTTTGTGATGGGTTTTGAACTTTATCTTTGTTAGGAGTATCTACTTTTGATTTTGCGGGAACAGATTTAATATTTTCCTTATCTTCTATCTCATTTGTTTTAGAAGGTTCTAATACCACATTTGTATTAGAATCCGAAGAAATACCAGCTAAATTAGGAAGATTACAAAATAAATTTGGGGAATTAGTTCCATTATTAATTGCTGTTGATCTTTTTTAGAGTGAGGTATAAATAATTTAACCAACTTATTAATGATAACTTACTATCTGATTCGGGCAAATTTGGCTTAAAGTTCAATCTCTCTTCGGGGATAAAAAACAATAATACACAGCCTACAAATAATAGAAAGGCTGTCGTCCTTATCCACATTCTATTTCTAGGCTTATTGTTCATCGCCATTTTAGATTCAGTTATAGAATCTAACTGCGTAACTGTACTCTCGGCTTTTTCCAATGTTAACGAATTTTTTCTCCGAGATCGAGTTCCCGGAGCGTTTCTGTCTTCTATTGCGGAAGTGTGAGTTAAATCACTTTCTGCTGACAATGTATGTGATGTAGATTCGTCTTGCTGGGAGCTTCGCATCAGCTGTATTGTAACCACGTTTGTCGAAGATCGCTTTTATTCACTCGGTGTCAGATTCAAGCGAGCAATAATCAATCGATATTTGAATGATTTGAATGAATGTTTTATATCAATAAACAGCAAAAAAAAAAAAAAAAAAAAAAGGAATAAACCAAAGATAAATTTAAAATATTGTATGGTAGTACAATTATTTTGTACTATTTCATTGATCAATGAATCTATTGTTCAATTACAATAAAACTAATAAAACTAAAATTAATGGAAATTAATCAAAAATGCAACCTAATAAATTATAATAAAACAGAGATAAATTTGAATTCCTTTATTTATTTTATTTGTTTTTTATTTCAATTTATAATAAGTATGTATAGAGCAAAATAAGCATCAATCAAAATTTGAGATCAAAAAATTGGATAATAAATTACATAAAATTATACTACAAATTGAAATTAATGATTTTCCTTTTTCTTTTCATCCGCAAGCTTTAAAAATTCTTTGATAAAAGCTTCCTCTTCTGCAGAAGATGAATTAATTGGTGGAGGAGATGAATATTGAATTTTCGGCTTTGATTTTGCTCTTACAGCCATGATTCCGAGACCAAACGACGTCAATACAGCGAGCGCGAGCTATAATAATAAATGTATTATTAATTTTTCGTACATTGTAGCTCTTATTACAAATTACTAGGTTGCCTTACGTAATGAGACTGTACATTGCGACCTGCAATTAAATAACTACCACCCATGATAATATTATTAGATTAACTTTTAAAAATATTCAGAAAATGTTAAAAAAAAATATTCAAGAAAAAAAAAAATACAATGACACAGTTATATCCGAAAACAACTAAAGAATAATTTTATTGATTTAATTTACCCAATAATGATACAAGCTATAATATCAAGGCTTTAATAATTCTCGACGAAAGGCTACAATCGAGAAAAAAAATTTGTACAAAGAAATCGAAAATCAAACGAATAAATATCAAGGATGAACCGACGATCACTTTGTGTAGCCCAAACACGAATCACGTGAAAAATGATTTTCTTTAATTAATTTTTTTAAAATCTAATTATATTTAATAATATAATCATTACCAGGAAATTTTTATGGTTTTTTTTGGCCGGCATTATTGAATTTGCCCGAAAATAACCATGTAACTAAGACAAATCACGAATTACGCGATTTTCGTTACACAGGTTTTGGTTATATAAGGGTCACGATTCGAAATTAATTGACCTTTACTTGCATTCCTTTTCATTTACTATTATTGTTTTGACGCGTTAAGATAAAAAAAAAAAAAAAAAAAGTATTTTTGTGCAAAATTCACTAGTATTTTATAGGTGACTTACAATAAAGATGTATAAAAGGAAAGGTGATTCTCAAGAAATGAAACAAACTAATGCTGCTCTGCAATATTTTAAACAAGCTAAAGAAGCTTTAAAAAATAACGAGCTCTTAAAAGCACAAGAATTGTTTACAAAGGTCTTTTATCTTAATAATTTTATGCATCGATTTAATCTATATAATATTTAAAAGTCGTAATTTCATTTCAAGGCAATTAATTTGAAGCCGAATTTTATCTCATTCTATGATTGTCGCGCTTCAACATCTGAAAAACTCGGTCAGCTAGATGCTGCTTTACAAGACGCGTTATCTATGATTAAATTGGACAAAACCGCAGTAAAGGTAATTATTAATTATAATCAGATTTATTTAAAATATGCGCGCTTATTTAAATACATTTTTTAGGCTTATCTTCGTGCTGGCAAAGTTTATAGATTATTGAATCAGACAGCCAATGCAATTAAAATTTATAATATTGGATTGTCACTTGTCATCACCAAAGATCAATATTATGAGGTAACATTTGTTTCGAATAATCAAATTATTCTTAAAAGGTTTATTAACTAAATAATATCTTCAGATGCTTCAAAAACAAAGTGAAGAATTGCAGAATAATTTGCGTAATAAATTGCGTGTAAGTTTAAACTTGTTTTTATTTTTATTTTATATAAAAGACAAAGTTAAATATATAGTATATTATTCACCAATGAATTTCTTTTTAAGCAGTCTGATTCTTCTAAAACTTATGACATGATGCGTATTCTTCCACCAGAACTTAAAGATGATATTTTAAAGAGACTTCCGTTTACAAGTCTTTGCAAAGCTTCTGCCGTATCTAAAACCTGGAGAAAATATATTCTCTCGTCAGAAATATTGTGGCATAATTTGGATTTTGAGAGACCATTTTTTAATACTCTCAACGATAATATAATCCGTACTTACCGTTAAACGTCAATATTCCTTCACTACTCGCTCACGTATTCTTTCAAGATGTTCCTGGTGCTATAACTAAA